AAAAATAACAAATATCAATATAAAAATATGGGTGGTCCATTAAAAAAATAAACTTTGTCTAGATATTTAAATCTAAAAGTTCGATCTATATGTGGCTAAAGATTTATGTGGTCATCTATATTAATTTGCTTGGGCAAAAAGTTGGCAAGGAGGTTACTCCATGCACTAAAAAATTATAATCATTACGGATTAGGGATAGTAATTAATTCATTTATTTGGCCCCATTTCAATTTGAGAAGAAAAACATGATCTATCCTTGATTGGTTTGAAAAAAGTTAATAAAAAAGGATTAAAAAATTAGACTTTGAAAGTTACAAATAATTAACGAGATTAAATTATTTGATTTTTATTTTTGCTTAACAAAAATGGTTCCTTCTTTTCGCGATTAAAAAAAAAAGATATTTATATTCACATACGCGCGGCATTCTTGATTCTTGAATTCTTGAATTCTTGAATTAATACTTTCATAAATAAAATCGGTGCAAATTTTTTTTAAAAATCTGTCAGGTGACTTGCTTTTCACATCTTCAACTAAGTTTTGAACAATTGTATACATATATGAAAAATTTTAAATATATATTGTGATTTTGAAAGCTATTTTTTATCGCAATTAATTTTTGTATAAAAATATTTATTTATAACACTACAAATATTTTGTGTCCTAGTAATGTGTGCTTTACCAAACGAATATTTCAACGCTTGATCGTGTAATGGACGAAAGAAGTATACAACTGAGCATTCAGAATAATAAAATTTCCTGCTTATTTTACTGGAGAAAATAATCTGATAAGTAAAAATCCATTAATTCCACATAATGCTGCATAATCATCCATCCCAATAAAAAAATAATGGAGGAATTAAGTCTTACAATATATCAAGATAAATCAAACATTCAGTTTAACTTTAAGCATATCCCAGTACAGAAAAAAAAAAAAAAACTGACAATCTAAAAATCCATCACAGCAGATCAATACTTGGAATGATCATATGCTCGATCGTTCGTTCTCCAAACTTGTAACCCTAATTATGATATACTCCATCGTTCTTTGAACTTGTGATCTTATAAAATACTCGATCGTTCTTCGAACTTGTATATCTGCTAGGTTAAGAATTGAGGTTATTATTAAACCTAAGCAATTGATGAAAAGCAGAATGAAAGAAAGAACCAAACAACTCTGAGAGAACGTCGTACCTTCGAAACCTTGGAAACTACGAGAAAGTTGAAGATAATTAATCAGTGTTGTTGGGTAGTATTATTCCCTAAGGAGATATTCTGGATCCGTCTGGTCAACTCAGAAACGCCATTAATATCATCATTTTCTGCTGCATTATCTCTAACAACATTACTACTGCGAGGAGTTGATAATTGAAAATTTGGAGGAAGGATCCATTTTTTCCAGTTGTATCGGACTCTCATCTTGTAACCTCGTACTTGCACGACGGAAGAAGAAACAATAGCTTCCAAAATATGATATATAGTCACATTCAACTGTTTAATCTTTCTGAACTCTGCGATTACGCCGACATCGACCCAACCATATTTATCCATCTTCTTCCTCAGGTACACATCTTTCACCAGATTTTCTCACTAAAATAGTACTCGATTTGTTTCACTATTTTGGGATATAACTCAGGATCTTCTGGAGGCACTGGTCTGGAAATATTTGAGGAAATCATAGGCAATAATTGAGCACCAGGATAAGAAGCAGCAGGGATCAGATTATGAATAGGTTGTTGGGGTGGCAAAGAAGGAATGAAACGTTCTATTTGATGAGGACATTCATAATATGATGGTACGAGGAAAGGATGATCATTGAAAAAATTAGAAAAATTACTAGAATTTGTACCATCAAAAGCATACAAATTGGGATTATTAGAATAACAATGATGATTTGAAAGCATGGGAGGAGGATGATGAATGTGGGATGTGAGGTTACTGTGAGCAGCATACATGTTTGGAGTCAACAATAATAGTGAAGACTTAAAAAAAAAAGTAAGTAATAAGATGAAAGAGATATCAATGAAGAAAGATGAATTTATAACAGTAAGTAGATCTTGAAAGAAAGAATCATGAAGAACTAAAGTCATTAACCATGTCTTTTTATAGGCCTTTGGGACACATCCTGAATGTATGCCTAAACTCCTTATCGGATAAATTAGAATCTTACCCTATAATTATTAGATATATGATTTATATTTTTTATATCTAAATCAATTTTAATTTTTGGTCAGAGAGATCAATTTTAATTTTACGTATATCCTTTTCCCCCCCAATAATTTAATGTATATCTTTTTTTTTCTGCCGAATAATTTGGTGCATATCTGATTGCTATATTTTGCTTAAAAAAAGAAAAAAGAGAGTTAGATTTCATTATTTTTTTATGGAATTAGGTTGTATAATTAATAGGTTTTTTCCAGAATTCAAATGATTTTCAAAATGCTTTTTCATTTTGGGTGGGTAATACGGGATTAAGACTTGTTATCTTTAACTTTTTTAATTCAAAGATATTTTTAATTTTATATAGGATAGCAGTTCGTTAAATTGGAGTTGAAGTTACAGATAAATATTAGTTGGAATTTTCTTCTTAAAAAAGGAATTAATTCTTTATCACGATAAAATGGGATAATTTAAATTTAAATCTAAATTGATTTACATTTTTTAAATATATTTGCTTTACTCAATTTTTTTATAACATTTTAAATCTTTTTAGGATTCTCCTTCTAGAAAAAATTTATAGAAAAAGAACATTTTCAAGAAGAAAAGAAAAGCGAAAGAAGGAAAGAAAACAGGTAATCGCAAAATATAAATGGAAGAAGATGCACACAAAAGATATTTTAGTCAATCAAATAGTATTAATCAGTACATAAAAGCAACTGAAATCATGTAATAATTAATAACTAAAGATACAATATATAATTTTTAATTAGTTATTCTAAAATTTATTAATACATTTTTAATATATATAAATAAAATATAGAATAAATTAGAGTACTATTTATAAGTTATTATTGATGATTTCTTAGATTCCCTACAACATGGAAAAGATGTGGTCTAATTATTCATAAAATATGTTCTATATTCCTGCTTCATTCTGTGGCGTGAAGTGCAATGAAAGCGCGAACAGTCACTTAACAGTCAACTTAGTTTTAAAAGGGTGTTTGAATTAATTTATTTTAAATGATTTTGTATTCTACCAGGTGAGTATGTAAAAATATTACTACATCCTATGTCAAATATCGGGTCCTTAATATAAGACGTAATTGTTAACTTAGTTTTAGTCCTAAATATAAGACATATTTCTCATATTTATCAATGTTCCTTGAATTGCCTTTATAGATACTCCCTTAACCATAATCAAATAAAAGAGGGAGATGGGGTATTAAGAAAGATAATTATGGTGTTTCAGAAAAAACAGTCATATTTTTTATAATTAACTAACTTACCTAACTTTCTTAATCTAATCAAATTAGTTAAATAGGTCTTATATTAAGAACCTGAGGAGTAATTAGTTTGTGCTTTTATTTAGATCTTAGATATAAAACTCGAATTTACTTTATCTTCTAAATATAATTTTTTTCAAATTATTTATATTAATTGCACATGATAAAATGATTTTCATCAAGAGATGAACCCATAAGAAATGATTAAAAATAATATTTTAGGAAAAAACACATATTTTTAATAAATAATTAATTTAACTAATTTTTTAATTTTTGTAAATTAATTATCTATTTCTCATGTTGAAAATCAAAGAGAGTATTTAGTAACGAAGAGGAGATTTCTAAAGCATGATCATGTGATGATGACCAATCTTTACGAAGCCAGGTGAAGGTTAGGGTAACGAGGCACCTGCTCTGCTCGTGTCCCACCACCCCACAACCTTAATTTGTGGCTTGATGCGAACATAGATACTATATGGACGAGGAAGAGGACTGGACGTTAATGGTACATAAGGTGTTAGTGTCATTACCAATGCAAAGTTTCCTAATCAAATCGGGGCACATTTTGATTAGGACATGACCATTGAAAATTCAAAGAGTCCCAATGTGATAAATCCGGTCTTTAAATTCTGACGCTTCTTTATTTATTTATAGATAGCGACTAACAAAAGTTTCACACGCTATCATGCTGCTACCTTTCATGTTTTCTTTAGGCTTCCATTAATGGAGGTCCTGATCAGATGCAACGCACAACTTATTTTCTTAGGTTGCCCTCCTCAGAGGTGATGTGGTGGCTTTCTTTCTTTCTTTTTTAAAGTAAAAATAATTAGTTTGCTTGTTTTGTATTTGATAGTTTTAGATAGGGTTTGAGTTTAAAACTTGACAAAGTTTTGTACTCTTTTCGGTTCTTATTATAAGTTTTAAATAACTAATTCACAGATACTAACAATTAGTTAAACTTAGTTAAAATCAATAAAAATTTTATTTCTCAAAAAAAAAAGATAAAGGAAAATATGTAGAGAAATGTGATAAGAAATATCATGACAATGGAAGGATAATAAATAAGGAAAAAAATTAGGAGAAAAACATTAAATGTTAAGACAAGCTCAAATTCAAACATATTAAATGAACTAGGTCCATTTCCAGATTTAAATTAAATAAAGTTCAGTTGGCTTACTACTAGAACCGAAATGGAAAGGAAGAGCAGAATACAAACTAGGTAAGAGCAAAGCAATTTGAATTTGAAAATGGTGGTTTACTTTGCGGTATTGGTGAAAGCGAGGTCCGATATTAGAAACCTTCAGAATTCGTTAGTATGAGAGTAAGAAGGCGATACTATATTTAAGAAAGATAAGTAGTCCAATAGCAGGAGGGATGAATGCGGTAAGTTTCAAACTTCAATGAGCAGCCATAGTTTAAGAGCATAGAGGCTACAGATGAAAAGTAACCTCCGTGAATAGAATAAAATTTAAAATTAGGATTTTATACTTCCATGTTTGATGTCCACTACTTTCTATATGCTTCATCATTCATCTCTCTTCAATAATAACAATATCAACTTTAAAAAGAATTTAAGAAAATCTATTTTGAAAAGAGGAAGAAATATTCATTACAATTGGCCTTGAATTTCTGAGAACTTGTTCTAACAGTGAACAAGCATTTCAATTTATTCTGACTTACATTACAGCAAGGAGAGTACATCATCTGGCAACCACATTTCACGACAGTACTCATCAATATACACCCACTGAATTAAAAATTAAGTACAAAAGATTTACGAAATGACTAGTCACCAAAGAAAGGACCTCCTTCTGGAGAACCAAACGACTGTTGCGAGAAATGAAATTTATCATGATAAACTATGACTGCTGATTTTGTATCTTCCATTTGTGACCGTAAAAACCACCTCCTGGGGCAACCAACATCATTCTAACAGCATGGGCGAGGAGTACAACGTAGTTACAATTTAGACTGTTTCCCTGAACCTCGACCCGCTATGAATTCCTGCATCATTCTGAATTGCTCCTTCGTCATTCCGTTGTAATACTCATGAGCCTTCTCCTGAAATCCACAAAAACATGAAGAATTTCATGAAACTTGCACCGGACGGTTAGGCGATGTGCAGTTTAAAGCCGAAAATCCCTACACGGAAAATATTGACAAAATGCACGTAAATAATTAAGGAGGACTACCGGAAGATCGAGAATGCGATGTGTTCAACAGTATACAAGACAAAGAAATGAATGGACGCAAAGAGATAGTGCAGTGCCTAGAATTTTCAGCTTACAATACAAAATACTCGGCGATTCCTAATATTTAAGCCACTAGAATTGTCTATCAACAATCAACGATGCAAAACAGTAAGCGAATTAAAAGAAACAAACAACAGGAACATGAGGGAAAAACTTGCCATTGTCCATAAGAAAGCCGTGGTCAGTGACATAACATTCCATTGTATTGATATATCATTAAATTGGCATTGCAAATTCCTATAACGAATCTGTCCATACTTAAAATTACAAATTGGAAAACAACTAACGGTTCATTTCAGTTTAAACAAGGAACTGAGGAAGCGATGCAACTAAGGGCAGCGATCCAAGAGGATTTCCAAGTAACTAGAGCAAAATTAATAAGAAATTGGCTACAATCAGATAGCGTAGTGCATCTGCACGATCTGTCCTTTCATCCATCCAATCAGGGAATCTCTTGCAATTTTAATTTCTTAGTATTCAACAACATGACCCAATACCATTCATAAACAAACAAATGATCAGACAGTGCGCATGTATCTACAATGAACAAAGCTTTCAGTGCTTCAACATGCCCAGCAAAAAATAAAATCCTAGGGACTTCTGAAAAAAACTAAAAAATATGACACAAGTAACTAAAAATAGAACATTTCCGAAGAGAAAAAAACTCCAAACAATAACCGGTGGTGAAACAAACTAGATATCAAACAAACATTCTTGCATAGCAGGATAGTAGGAAGCTCAATTGAAATTAAGCATAGATGTCATGTTCACTGGAACCAGAGTTCAAAGCAAGTGCATTTCAAGAATTAGGATGAATCTGAAAACCATATCTTTTGGGGTTCAAAGAAAGTTCATTTCAATAAATAAGGTGCATTAAGAATTAAAATATATGTTCAGAATCTAATCTCACATCATCAATTGTATCTTTCAGTTCGTTAAATAGGTGAATGCGGTGAGATTAACACTCAAGTAATAAGCTCCTGGTCTTCGTGGATGTCTAGCTGTATTATTGTGGCACTCTACAGAAGAAAACAAGAAACAGAAAAGGACTCATGGAAAAGGAGGAACAGAGCAAGGAGAGGTGCCAGTAAATACGAAAGTAATGGATGAAAATATCTCCCGTACTGTTCTTTCTTTCATTCATTCTTTCTTTTTTGCAAGCCTCACATGACATTAGCGAAGGGTAAGGGTATTTCGGTACGGGGAATTCAGTGGGTTCTGCTTCTAATTTCCATATCAACTCCTTCTATACAAAATTTCACCATTTTATCTTGTAGCCCACAGTTCATTAAATCAGTGTGTGTTCAATTTCAAGAGGTTCTAAATTGAACAATCTGAGCAATACTGCGTTGTGATTTAAGCGTAACTGCTATAACATGACGATAGCATAAAGAAAATACACTTGCATTTGAGCTTCACAACAGTAATACAGAATTAATCTTCTAGCACTCTCAGCATCAATAGAACATATACCGCAACAAAGAACACTGTCTACTTTGATAGGGGCCTTCTTCAGAGAACCAAATCAACTTGAAATGATCTAGTTTCAAACTTTGATCCATCTTATTTTTATTTACATAGACATGATGATAGATATCTAACCTTTTCCAGAGAAAGAGCATGACCAAGGTCCTGCTTGAGGCCATCATTTATGACTGACTTGTACCTCAACACCATGTCTTGATTATTTTTTGAAATGGCGCCCGCAATTTCTTGAGCTTTCTTCAATACTTCACCTTCTTCAACAACATGGTTCACAAAACCCAGTCTTTCAGCTACTTCTGCTGTCAAAGGAGATGCTGTAAGAGATACTTCACGAGCTTTATTCGGTCCTATAATTCGTGAAAGCTTCTGAGAGAGACCCCATGAAGGAAAAATCCCAAACCTGCAATTTGAAAGCCCATCAGTCCACATCTACATCAATTTAGTAGACTAGAAGATCGGGCGCAAGAAAGTTTCTCTATGACTTCAATAAAAAAATTCAGCATAAAAATATATGATTCCAAATCACCTTATCAGAAATCAGTTTCTAATTTATTAAATGAAAATAAAATAGATTATAAATGAACCTCGCATGGGTGTCTATGAACTTAGCCCCTTTGGAAGCAATCAGCATGTCACAAGCCAGCGCAATCTCGAATCCAGCCGTCACGGCAAACCCTCTAATGGCTCCGATGATCGGCTTGCGGCACCGCTCCATTTGCGCAACCGTGTCGGACTCGATGTCTTTCACATCACCCTTGAAGACATCTTCCGCCGCGGTCAGGTCCACACCCGAACAGAAGGCTCGACCGGAGCCAGTCAATATGATTACTCGCACCGAATCATCCCTGTCCAGCCTCTTGAATGCTTGAGCCAGGTCAGCCATCATCGACCTGGTCAACGAGTTCAGAGAACGAGGACGATTGATAGTGATCAAAGCGATGCCGTTTGGCTCGCGCTGGACGAGGATCAGCTTCTTCTCCGGCGGCGATGATTCCATTTTTTATTTTGTTTTGGCGATTCGGTTGACAGCTCCTCGCGCGGTTCGAGCTTTGAAGGTAATACGATCCAAATGCGACGGCGTCGTCTCATGGTGACGGCGTCTTGAGGGGAGCGAAGTGGATTAAGTTAAACCAATAAATTAACAAAGTTGGCAGAAAACATTTCCGCTATGTTTGGTACAGGATTTTCGGAGGGGAGGGAAGGGAAGCTGTTCCCTCCCCTTGTTTGGCTAGTGTAATTTTTTAGTAGGGGAGGGGCTCCCCTCCCCTCCTCTCGTTTGGTTAAGATGTTTTTTAAAGAGGAGAGGGGTTTTTCTTCCCCTTTTTTTCCCTTCTAGCCCCCCATTTAAAAGTGGGGTTTTTTGGAAGGGAGGTGAGAGATAATATTTTAATTCATTATATACCCTTTCAATTTGTTAACCTCTAATCAGTAGTAAACATTTCTATATAAGAGAGTTCTTTTAAGCATCTAACAAGAGGTTATTAAGATAATTGTCTCCAAAATTAGTGAGCATTTGTAAACTTTTTTTTTCTCTTCTTCTAATTCCAAGAGGCTGTTGGTATTTTCTTTCACCTTCAGGGTCTTTTCTTTGATTGAAATCTATTACTTGTGACTTTTTATCTTGATATTCTATAAGTGTGTGACTGTGTCTTGTAAATCAAAATTGGTGAATTGTATTATATATTTATAGTTATATCTTAACAAAATAAAAAAGTGAGAAAATTCATTTAAATTTTATGAGGTTAAAATAGTCAGTTTTTTATTAGAACAAAATAAGGTATTATTAAAATTGTTCCCTCCCCTCCCCTCCAATCAATCGAAACAGGAGATCATTAAAATCCCTTCCCTCCCCTCCCCCTCCCCCTCCCTCCCCTCCAATGAATCGAAACAGGAGATCATTAAAATCCCTCCCCCCTCCCCTCCCCTCCCCTCCCCTTTATAACTACCCTCCCCTTTCCTTCCCTCCTCTTCCCTTGGTTAAAATCCCTCCCCTCCCCTTCCCTCCGTTGAGCCAAACACAGCGTTCATCTTCTAAAGATAGAAAATCTGGGATAAATAATGAAAATGAGACTTGGGGAAATGTTCAAATAGTGCGCTGTCACAAAATAAATGTCCCAAGATTCTGGTGGGCCTGGGTTCCAGTGCCAAAGCAGTGTAGAAGTTCTTGTAAGAGAAAACAAAAAGAGGATGAAGGTGACAATGATTTAGATGATCAATCTCAGCAAAATGTGCGAAGGTCATCATGGAAGGAGGATGAAATTGAAGATGATTTAGATGATCAATCTCATAGAAATGTTCAAAGGTCATTCAGGTCCATCGCAATGAAAGTTGAATGTTTTACCCACAATCCGCTCGTGCTTGCAGGCAAGTGTCTGTCTGATCTAATAAAGAAGCAAGTTTTTTACCCAATTCCCCAACTAACAAAGGTCTTACTTGATCATATTTACAAAATGAGATTGGTAAAAAGAGATAATTAGAGGCTATGCTTACATCAGATTCTTTCAATAAGTGTATTAAAGCTTTTCAGCTATCTCCTGTTTTGTTGAAGGCTCGGGAAGCTGCCTCAAAGCTTCCTAAGGAGCCATGAGGATCTTAAGTTGGAACTGCCGTGGCTTCAAGAAAACCACGGCAGTTCAACAATGCAAGCGCTTGATTTTGTTTGGCTGCCCTGATTTTGTCTACCTTTCGGAGACCAAGATTGATGTTTCAACTGCTTGTAAACCTTTATTTGATTTGGGCTTTGTTAATTTCTCTAGGTTTAATGGTATAAATCGGGGAGGAGGAACCCTTTTGGCCAAGAAAGTGGGGTTACAAGTTGAAATTGTATATTGAAAAGCAATGATAATTCACCTTTCTTGTATCTCTTTTGTGTATGGCCCGTCTCAATCTAATGTTCACTTTATACTTTGGGACTAGATTCAGGCAACCTCTGCTTCAATAGATTCTCCCTGGTTACTCATAGGTGACATCAATCAGATATTTTCTTCAGAAGACAAGTCGAATGGGGCCCCTTCTGCCAGTGATTACTAAATATTTTATGTCGTGCATTGATTGCTCAAGGCTTATTAATATTGTTCAACAGGGACCACTACTCACTTGGACTAATAATAAACAAGGGGATCAAAATATAATGGAACGACTTGATATGCCTTTTTGCAACTTTGAATGGCTATCTCATTTGCCAGGATCGTTGATGCAGAATTTGACTATTGCCGCCTTTGATCATAACCCGATATTGCTTAGGATAGATCAATCAATAAGGTGAGCTAAATTTAAGCGATTTGAATCCTTTTGGTATCACTTTTTAGAATGTGAACGGATCATTTAGGAGAGCTGGACTCATGAGGTTCGAGGACCGCCTAGCTTCTCCTTAACTTGTAAGTTGTAGAGAACCCTCTCAACACTTTTTTCTTGGAACAAACTCCATATTGGGAACTTATCAACCCGCATTAGTCAAGCAGACAAGGAATTGCAATCTTCGTCTTTTAAACTCGATGCTAGTGTTAGTGATAAATGCCTTCTAGAAGATTTCTCTTTTGCCAAACACAAGTTAGAATTTTTATATGAATGTGAATCTAGTTTTTGGGCACAAAGGGCTAAACTAAAATGGCACATAGAGGGTGAAAGGAACATTTTAAATATTTTTGTGCTACTGCTAGTCAGTGTAGAGCTAAAAATCTCACTCACACTTTAAAGAAAAGTGATGGTTCTCAGACTGAGGATCTACAGAAAATTGCCAACATGACTTCTCACCACTTTCGTGAGATTTATTGTAAGATAGATGTCCTTTCAGTTAAGCAAATTCACTCTAATTTGTTACAAATTGATGCCCCTTCTCTCAGTGTGCAAAAAACTAATTTATTAATGAAACAAATTACTTTCAAGGAAGTTCAAAATGCAGTCTTTGATTTGCCAAGTGATAGTGCACTAAGCCTAAAAGGTTTTCATGCTGATTTTTTCAAAAACATTGGGAGTTGATCAAATGTGATATTTATGATATGGTGATCTCCTTCTAGAATACAGAACATCTGTTGAAGTCAATGAATAAGACTAATATTGTTCTAATCCCTAAATCTAATAGCCCTCAAACTCTCAAGGATTTCAAACCTATCAGTCTTTGTAATGTGTCCTACTAGATTTGTGCAAAGGTTCTTTGCAACCAGCTGACAGAAATTCTACAAAGCTGTATTACTCCCTTTCAAAGTGCTTCCTTAAAATGGAGGCTCATATCTGACAATATTATGTTGGTTGCAGACATGATGAATCAAATGCACAATTCCAGCAGGGGGAGGAAAAAATTGGGTGCTCTCAAAGTTGACTTTTCCAAGGCTTTTGATAGACTATCTTAGAATTTCGTCATAGCCACAATACAACAAATGGGGTTTCCTAAGAAGTAGCCTAATTTAGTCTATCAATGTATTTCAACTATCCATTATCAGATCTTAATCAATGGTCAACTCACTAAGGCCACTTACCCTCAAAGGGGAGTTCGTCAAAGGGATATTCTCTCTCCTTATTTATACATTCTCTCTACCAATATCTTATCTTGCTTGGTCACACAATTACAAAAGGCTGATCAGTGGAGAGGTATCAAAATCTGCCAAAAAGCTTTAGTAATTTCTCATCTTTTTTATGCAGATGACTCCTTATTCTTTTCTGAGGGATCTTATTAGAGCATTGTAGCTATTAAATTTGCTCTTGATACATATTGCTGTTGGTCATACCAAGTAATCAATTATTCTAAATCTATTTGGTGTTTAGACCCAACGTTAATCATCAAAGTAAGCGTGCCTTTTTATAGACTCTGGGCATTCATTTTACTTCTAGGTTGGGCAAATACTTGGGCACCTGAATTGATCCAAGACGAAGCAAAAAACTCATTTATGATTAGGTTATTGAGGCAATCCAAAGAAGGACGGCATCATGACAAATTAGATTACTTTCTCAAGCTTCTAGACTCACCCTTGTCAAAACAGTACTTTCAGCAGCTAATCTGCATGTTCTCGCTTGCATCAAATTGCCACAGCATGTTTGTGATAAACTAGATAGTCTCTACCCTAATTTTTTTTTTCGGGGAACAACTGTGGACAAAAATCACTTCCAATTTAAAAACAAGAATTTCCTCTTCCAGCTTGTGGATTATGGTGGCTTGGGAATAAGGCCTGCAAAATGTGTCAACTAGTCACCACTGGCTAAACAGGTATAGCATCCTCTCTGTGGAACCACCTAACTTGCTTGCTTTAACGTTGAAGGCTAAATATGTGGATCTCTATCAAAAGGAGCTAGAAACCTTACAATGCTTCATGGATATGGAAAGGTTCGAGTCTTGTAGTGGATAACCTTCAGTGGAACATCTCTTTTGACTCGTAAATTCCCCTTAATCACCATCTTCAGTGGCCAACGTAATCAGGATCTACTTTAGTATTCAACTTGCTTAAGGTCAAGGATCTCATACTGCATACTCCTTTTAACAGGAATCCTCACCAATGGAACCTTCCTCTACTTAAGACTCTATACTTTGAAAATACCTTGTGCAAGATTTCCTCAACTCCTATTTTATTTCAGTCTATGTATGACTCTTTTTGATCGACTATTAATAGCTCTGGCTCTTATAAAACAGATGATGGATTCAAGAAATGCATCACAATGTGCTCCAGTTGAGTGAGGTGATGGGTTCGGGAAATTTCTCTAGTTCCTTTCTCTTCCAATGAAATCACTGCTTTTCATTTGGAATCTTGTTAATAAATCAATTCCCTCTGGGGACGTGTTGAACCTAAATCATATTCCTTCTAATATGCTTTGTGTTTTTGGTTGTAACCGCCAAAAAACTTTGGAACATTTGTTCATTCTCTACCCATATGTTTGAGCTATTTGGTATGGATGTCTCTCAATTAGACTAGAGGTGGAAAGTTTTGACTCATTTTTGCTTTGGTTGAAATCATTCATGTTGTAGCTCTTACAGGATAAACTCGACTTTCCTTTGAAAGGATGGTTTTGATGAATGTGATATGGTGGAAACGTAATCTAGCACTGCATTAAGGAAAAATTGGTCATCCAACGAAAGTGATAAAAGAAATTCACAGCTGGCTTTTATACTTTGATATGGCTTTTACATC